TGTGCGTGATAAGAAAGGGTACTCAGAATATCATTCGTCATCCAATTCCTGCTCTTCCGTTCAGGAACGTAAGTCACGTGCGACAAGCTTCAAATTCTCTCTTGAAAAAGTTGAGAATCTCTTCACTGTCAACATGTCAATCTTCGAACAAACTGTCAGCAATGTTTAGTCACTAGTAAAATTGACTCGATACTCAAACTGTGAGCAAAGTTTGTTTAAAAAACTTTCAAATTCTTCTGAAAAAATGAATAAAAGCCTCAACTCTGAAGTTATCAAACAACTTCAGTTTGCGTCACCGTCAAAAAACTCAAAACCAAAACAATGTTTTGACTCTGAACCGAAACAACCGCAGCATCTCAATCCTTTCAGTTTTCCTCAAATTAAACATTCAAAGAAAGAGCCCTGAATCCAAACATTGAATTCAAATCTGCAAATATAATTCAAATGCATTATCTTCGAGACACCTCAAAGTTGGGAATTCAATGTGAATTTAGAAATCGCTGTCAAATTCCACCTAAAGATTTTACCATCTGTTTCAATCCAACGATACATCGTCATAAACGTCACAGGTTCTAAACTGAAATTAGATTAGACTCCAAATCTTTAAACCTGCTCTGATTTCTGTCACAACCAAGGTTATTGAAATACCACTGTGAAAAAATTCATAGGTCTGTCATAGACTCAAACTCAAACTTCAAACCGAAATTAGGTTAAACAAAATCACAGCTCATTCACTTTGAACCTGAACCGTGATTTCTCTCATAAACCATTAGTAAATCTCGTGTCAATAAACTTTCGTTAATTTTGTCTCCAAAAACCCTCATTTGGAAATCCGTCATTAGACACAAACTGAAACAATTTAACCTAAACAGATCCGAACCGAAATTGGCTCTGATACTAATTGTAAATGGTGTAACCGAGAAAACGTAAAAAGAAAACTTTAAACACATCAAATAAAATCATAGCCTAGACACGATATAACGTGATTCACCCTCATGAGGAGGAGGGTTACGTCCACTTTATAATTTTCACTCACACGCGAGAGTTGTACTTAAAAAGTGTGTCCAGAATACACAAACCTTGAGTAAACTGTCCCAGCACCAGACAACTCTTATAGCTATTATTAGCTAAGACATGAGGTTACTCCTTAACCAAAGTTAACCTCAACAAAAAATTTGTATATTGAAAAAAATTTTGAGTAATATGAAAAATTCACATCAATTATTTCATAATTAGATTTTGGTACTTTTAAAAAAATGATTTTACTTCTTTTGAAGATGTTTTTCTAATTGAAATTTTATGTGTTAGAATTTAAAAATTCTTTATTTCACAAATTATGTACGTTATATTATTAATAGAATAGTGTCAATACAAATGATATCAATGAAACTTCTATAAAACTTTAAGATGATATCATCAGTTAGAGATATAGAAAGTGAAATATTATTAATCTTTGTTGATTTGGCTATCTTCTATTAAGCAATGAATAATCATATTTTACGTATAATTAGGATTCTGTTGTTAAATATCATCTGATAAATTTTTGATATCAATTCTTAAATCTTGTAGAGTTTTTTTTTATTATGCGTGATCTATATTACATTTTAGGATATAATACAGATCCTAAACCCAAACTTACTATCTTTTTTGGTCAATTTTGATTTCTAGTTTGTAATTATAATTCCAAATATATAATATGAACGTGAAATATTTTTAAAATTTTTTCCATAAAGTTTTAAAATTTTACTAATAAAATATTTTATTAATGATAAATTAAGAGTGAGTTTTTATTAATTTTTCTTCATAAAAAATTGTATGATCAATCATTAAACTTGCTAGCTTATAGATATCTGATAAAACAAATATAATATTTTAAAAATAAATTAAAAAATAAATTCAAAAGAAGGAAATCAAAAGAATATTGCAAAAGTTTTAATAAATTTGAAGATTAAAACCATAATTATATCAAACATTTTTCTACCTTGAGTTCTTGAATATTGTGAGAATCCTATAGTTTTGAATGATATATGACTGAAATAATGATAGAGTCGTGAAAATACATATGTATTTTGTAATAAAAAAATCTTTGAAGTTTTATTATTCATTTCGTGATATACTTGTAACTAAGCTGTAAACGTAAAACCTGAAAATCATCCATGAGAAACTCTATCCATCAACAACTGAAACACCAGCGTATAACGTGGTTCACCCTAGAGGGCTACGTCCACGGGGAAAGTATTGTGATAGTATATTTTGCGTTCTGTTTAGTAACACAGAGACCTTGGGTATATGTACCCAACACCGGCGACCACAATCAGTTATAAATACAATAAAACCTCCGCTAAGTTATACCCCGCTAAGTTATAACCCCTCGTAAGTTATCAAAAATTTACGGAACAAACATCGTTCTATGGGGACTAAGTTATAAAGCATAAGTTATGTCCTCAATGACCAAAATAACTTTTCAGAGGTTTTTTATTACTGCTTAAGCCAGCCATCGAGCGTCGCTTGTTGGAGATTTTCGAATCGAATGGTGCTTTGGATTCTACGTAGCTGACAATGTACTTGGTGCTCCACAGGATCCGCTGGATTTAACATTGAAATCACCACCGATAACCCTTTTAGCTTTTCAGCACGGGTAAGTTGTGCTGGTTTCTCCTCCTCAGGGTCTCCGATGGATGGGTCATTCTCTTGGCCAGTGACAAGGTTTGCGATCTCCTCGTCATTCAGAAACATATGCTCCACACCGCTTTCCTCAATCGGATTCAACAGCGATGCAATTGACATTGGATCCCGCAAAGGTAACATGTGTAGAGCATCCGTGAGCTCTTCCTCGACCTGCTCCTCTTCTAAAAACGCCCGATGGTTGTCTTCTACAGCCTCGAACAGTCCTGTGTGGCGAAAGCAGTTCTCGATCGTCTGCTGCGATATCTCGTTCCATGATGCGATGCACCACCTCATTGCGGTAAGTTGATCAACTTTGTAGAGGTTGACCTCATTCTTCTCATCACGATCCAATGCATTTTGCAAGTGGAAGCATCGGTAATGTCTCTTGAAAGCAGCGATAATCCCGGCGTCCATGGGCTGAATTTTTGACGTCGTGTTTGGCGGCAGTGGGCATACTTCAACATTTGGAGTTGGGCATTCATCAGTGATATGTAAGGTGCATTGTCCATCAACAGCAGGATGTGGCGATTTGCGGCACGCATCTCTGCATCAAATCGCTTTAACCACTCTTGGAAAAACATCCCAGTCATCCAGGCTTTTTTATTTGCTCGGTAATAAAATCCAAGCTGTTCGCCAGTTTTGCGATTGAAGCAACGAGGTTTCTGGGCATGTCCAATGAAAAATGGCGGCAGTTTGTGAGACCCATTGGAATTTGCAGTGAGTGCGAGAATGATCCTGGTTTTGTCCTTTTTAGAACTAGCAATACGTTGTTGAGCAATTGTCGTATCTGGCACCATACTGTAAAAAAGCCAGTTTCGTCCATATTGTAGACATCTTCCAGATTGAGGGCAGCGATACGGGCCGTAATGCTGGCATTGCTGCTTCGATCGCATCATCATTGACTGATCCGGCTTCACCATGGATTTTAAAGCTCTTTAGTTTGTTGCGGGACATGAACTTATACAGTCATCCATTTGAAAATTTGATGCTGCCTTCAAGTATTTTGAGCATTTCTGCAAATCGTTGACCTTGCGCTTTGATGAGATCGTATGTAATGAAGACATTCCGGTGCTGACACTGCACGACCCAGAGTGAAAGTGCTTCTTCAAGATCGGGAAAATTCACGGTTCTCGGCCTTTTCGCGTGAAGCTCGTGTTCATCCATTAGCTCATAATCATGCTTCTTCTTTGGAATCTTGCTAATGATGACTTGCGATGGTGCCGCTGTAAGCCCAAATTTTCCATTGGTCCATGTTGCAACTTCTGCCTGCGACAACGAAGCGTTGGCTTCCTTATATTTACAGATTTGAAGGCGTTGGTCATTGGTGAAACGTGGTGCCATGCTGCTGCCGATGAAAATAGTAGATGAGCAAGGAGTGCGAAGAAAAGCGGAGTGAAAGGCGAAGAGCTGAGAACGAAGAAGTGGGAAGAGGGGTAGAAGGGCGGAGTGCGAGGAGCGAGCTTCTAATATTACACTGCCTAGATGACCTACATAGTCAAAATGCACTTTACTGGAGCTCCTGATTGGCTACGGTACATACCTCCCAAAAGTTATAACCTCCCGTAAGTTATCAAAATTCCCTTCCACCGAGGCTATAACTTATCGGAGGTTTTACTGTAGCTAAATGTGAGGTTACTCCTGAACTGGAGTTAACCTCAACAATCTCCCACTTAACTCGCCTTAAGGAGTCTTAGTAACCTCTCAAACCTATATTATTACTCAGCGGGAAGTTTTAGACGGAATCTTGACTCAAGATCACTCTTTAAACGAGAGTTAACTAGAACTTAGCCGTATCCATAGCAGGATAGAGAAATAATATATAGAGGTAACTCACCAATCTCACCTTAACTCATGTTAAGGAATTTCAGTCGCCTCTCTAACCTATATTATTACTCTCATACCAAAATAGAGTAATAATATACAGAGGTAACTCAACAAAACTCCACTTGTTCTCTCCATGCAAAAACTACGTTGTGACACAGTGTCGCCTAAATCTTTCAAAAATATCAACTTTGGTGAACACATTTGCTGGATTGAGTTTATCGTCAATCTTGACTAGCTAAATCATGCGCTCGTAATCTCCATTACTGCTGGTGCTCTACCTTCTTGATCATTAATCATATAACAATCAAATTCTCCCATAATCATATCCGTGAGCGAATCATGACAAAGAGCTTGAGAACTCTCCCTCTCTTTCAATGACCTAGGCCTCATTGAAAGAAACATCTCATATAAAAAGTGTTACAACTTTTCAAAGCTCATAGCTTACTTTTGCCAAAGCACAGAATCTAGTACTCATAGATTCTATAACATGTGAATTGTCATCTCAACCACTATTCGCTGGCAGTAAACCAATGCCCCGTCTCTACATGTCGACAGTTGGGACATTGCATTGCCCCCTTAGCCATGAAAGCTGAAGCAATACAATCAAAATGAAACCAATGTCCACATACGAGTTTCGTAATTGATCTATTTCCGTCCTGAACGAGTACAACATCCATGCAAATACTACAAGTCAATGTCTCAGCTTCCTGTGATGTTCCCGTATCCTTCATCTTCACACATGTGGGCATATTCCTAGGTGGTACTTGTTCATTTTTGCTAAAAAAGTCGTCAATACCATTTTTCACCACATTCTCATACCCGGGTAAATTTGAATCTAGACCGCTATTCTCTAAAGCCAATAACAAAACTTTTTGTTTGTTTATGATATTCAAATCCGCATGCTTTAATATTCGCCGAACGCAATCTTTTAGTAACATCTCACTTTGAGTATCCATAACTTTGAATTTTGAAGTTATGGATACTCGTTGACTGTGTTGCCCTGCCAACGATGTTTGACTTCAACCACGTTGCTTACCAACCACGTTTAACCTCAAATCACGGTTAACCAACCACGGTAGTCTTGTTGACCGCAGTTAGTCCCGCCAACAGTAGTTTGCCACACCTACCACGGTCGCCCAAGACTTACGTTGTCCGTAACCAATAATGCCGCAATCACGTTGTCAGCGACTCCCGTCGATCCGCAACCACGTTGCCCACGACTTTTGTCCGTCATCCTCAACCACTTTCATCACTCCGCTCCTGCGCGCCTCTCCGTGTTGTGAGCTAAACCGCGGCTTCCGAGTTGAAAATCGCTTCATGCCTTGAACGAGGCTACAAATCGCGCTTATTGTTTTGCAAACCGAGCTACAAACCGCGCAAATCAAACTAACTGCGCTGCAAACCGTGCTAACTGCGTTGTGGTCTAATCCAACCGCGATCTAACGGGGCAAGGGGAGGCGGAGCTCGGCGTAGCTGGAGGACGACGTAGAGGGGTAGTTCGACGATTGAAGTTGATCAACCTACCATGGTGCGTCCGGTCTTCTACTGTTACCACAACTACTCCGGTTGCCCTATCCACCGCTATCGGATTAGACCCAATCACTTCGCCGCTTGGTCATCTGGTGCTCCCACGTGGCGACATCATGCCGCTTGTCCCTTGGGAGAGGATGTCGTCACCTAACGTGGGGCTCGTTGTTCGGACCTCAAATCTCAAATCTTGGCCGGCACATCACTCGGGCCGTGCCGTTCGGCGGGGGGCTTTTTAGGGAGGCCCTAAACTTGCAACCTGCTGCTCACTCTCAACCAAGCACATCCGGTCGCGTCTCCCCGTAACCTTTATCGCCGCGTGTTCTCTTAACCCCCTTCTCCTCGCAACAAAATCTCTCTTCTGAATTCACGAGTGACGATGTCGATGATGTGAGGAAACTCACCCTTGCATGCGTGACTTCGTCCATCTGACAATATAATCTTCTAGCTCCGGCCGGATGACGGACACTCTTCGTCGGACACAACTCTTTCTTGCAAGATTGGATTGAATTGGTAAGAAATGTTTGTCGTCATTGTCCGTTAATCGATTCGCTGTGAACGGAGGTAGCTCGATTTATCTCAGATGCGTCTGCCATCCAGTCGAATATCTCCTCCACCATGTTTGTGATGGCTGCAGATCCAAGGATGGCCTGCTCTTAACTGCCATCCATCCGTGATACTTGAAGTCGACCCTCTACTCTGTTCCCCTACACCGAGAAGTCTACCATCCACTAAATTTCTGAATTCGACGAATTGTACAATTCTCACGCATGCATGCATGCGCGCAGACTTGTCTCACTCACATAAACTTCTCAAATAAATTGAAAAAATCTGTAGATGAACTTCAAAAGGGTCTTTGCATGTAACAGATACAGTAGAGTTGCCAACAGAGACTCCACCTGAAGCGTGCCATTATGTAGCGGCCAAATCATCTTGATTTATTCCCAGCTATGCAGGTCTAAGAATACCCAGATGCATACATCTGGCGGTCATCTTCTCCTGGCAGCTATTTCCCAGTACTCTAGAATCATCCAACAACCAGTTGTTTCGAGAAAGGCTTGACGATTTTGACTTGTCATAAAACGAAGTATCTGAATCTAAGGTCATTCTTGCTCCAAGAGATTGAAGGTCATAAAGTATGTTCTTCTTCGGGTTTCGCCTTTCCAATCTCCAAACCTCTCCACGGCCTTTCCCGTTGTATGATCTCGTCATAGTTTCATGGTAAACTCGCGAGTGTCTCTACTAACAGACTTTGAGATTCTATGTCTGTTGAATGGATTTCAGACGATATATTTTGCTCGTGACATCTATAGATGTGGCTCCACAAACAAGCATACAATTCTGTCCTGCCTGCTTACTATTCTCTGGATTGATTCGGTCTTGAACGAAATTCATGTCAATCCCGGCACTGGAAATTGAATGGACGAGGAGAGAGCAATTTACATGGGGACTTAGGGCAGAAGCACGCGCCAAAGCCAACGTAGCTCTTAATTTTCCTTAAAAGAAACAGCTACGACTGCAAAATTTTGTATCCACAATTTCATTTCGTGACATTGCTCCTTTCGGCCTGTCATTCAAGTTCCAACAGCACAACGTACTCAGCCACCGATTTTACCTCGTTCGGAGTTGTTCCTTCTCCAGCCAGACCACCTCTTCTATCATCGCTGGCGCGTGCCCTGCACACGATCTTCAAGAAAGCTCGTCGTAGAAGACCTACAGTAAATTTGTCCAATTTGTGCTCCCCACGAGAAATCAGTTGATGCGAACTGATTTATCATAATATTAGGAGCTGGACACTTCAGCCCATCATTGTCACCTGAACCGTGAGTTCTGTCACAAAAAACCGTCATACTCAAGCTCGAAAAAACTGTCGAAAAACGTCATTGTCATAATTTTTGAATCATCTCATAAAACCGTCAGCATAACACTACAAGCTCCGAACCGTGAACCTACTCTGATACCAATTTTAAACTTAAAAGCTGAAAATCATCCATGAGAAACTCTATCCATTAACAACTGAAACACCAGCGTATAACGTGATTCACCCTAGAGAGCTACGTTCACGGAAAAAGTATTGTGATAGTATACTTTGCCAACTGTTTAGTAACACAGAGATACTGGGTATATATACCCAACACTGGCGAACACTCTAAGTTATAAATAACTAAACGTGAGGTTACTACTTAATCGGAATTAACCTCAACATAAGCAACTATTATCAAAACCAAAATTTAATGTATACAATGTTTTGTTAATAATCAAATAATAATTAAAGACTCAATCTATATATTTTTACTTTTGATGGATAAAATATATACATGAATAATGCATCAAATTTATGATTTTGTATGAGATCATATTTAAAATAAGAAAAATTATGACATTTTAACATCTTAATGAAAATGTAAAAATATTTAATTTACATTACATGATGTAAATATGAATTATGTCGTAAGTCTCACATTGAATCTACAACTACATAGAGTAAATGACCTAAAAAAGTTTTCAAAAATCATTTTAAATATAAATTAAAAATTTATTAGATTTCATTTTGTATGAATTAAGAAACAACTTTTAAAATATGTGAATATTTTATTTTTAAAATATATTTTATTGTGTACAATTTTGAATAAGTTAAAGAAATTTATTTACATATTTTAATATACTTTTCTATATATTCTTAACAATGTCTTTTGTGATAAAACACAAAAAAATTTGAGAAAGTTGAATCTACAACTATACAATGTACATATATCTGTAGAATAATTAACAACTACATTCATCAAACACACATACTTCCAAACGCCGATTATCAAAGTATTTGATTTGACACAATAGGCTCATTCCACAATACCACACAAAATCTTCATTGAAGAAATGCAAAAGTGTAATCAAGAGAATCTGCTAGCTCTTCTTCATAGAGAAAAGAAAACTAAACTTTTATAATGTATTATATCAATCTAAATTATAACAGCCAAAAATTAATAACTGATAATATATATGAGTAATCAAATTTAATACAATAATGTTAACATTTATTAATTCTATACTTCATTAAATATTAAATGAAAATTATTTTAATGTAGTTTGAAATATGCAATGTATTTGTTAATAGTCATGATTATATAGCATGAAGTTATTATATCTGATTTTATTATATAATTTTTAATATAGATAAACTGAAAATAGAATATTGATTAAATAATATTTTTTAAATGACAAATTGCATGTTTTATTGGATCAATAATATAATTGGATGATTATTCTTTGTATTAAAATTCTTTTTTCATTAATAATGAATTATTTTTATAAATATGACAAGAAAATACCAAATTTTGATTAATATAATCCATATCTAGGTTTATTTAAATTATTTTTCTTTATAATAATCAATTTTAGTCAACTTATTGCAACTCAAATTGAAAATATAAATTGACAGAAATTTTTTAAATATAATTATTTATAAAATTTAACCTAATTATTTAAATTTAATTTGATTCAATTTATTTTATGATTTATATTCAATCATTAGATTATTATGATGAATATATTTGTGATATATCTTATAAATTAATGTTATTTTATGTAATTCTGAAATAATTATTTTAGCATATTTCAATCTAAAATATTGAAAAACTAAATAAAATCTCAAATTGTTAGATATTTTAGTATTTTTTTCATAATCTACATTAACATATGTGATTTGATTTAACAATGATAATTCTAAAAAAACACGTATAATTTAGCATAAATCTTACTTTGTGTTACATAGTGTTAGATGTTAAAATCGAGAATCATTAACATAAGGTAAGTCCAGCGAATTTAAAAAGCCAACTAGACACATGTTGAGATTAACTCTGGTAGTAGTAATTAGTAATCTTAGTTTCTAATAATCTATAGCTAGGTTGGTCTCCTGTGTTGGATATGTATATATAACCCAAGGTCTCCACTCTATACGCATTGCATTCAGTTGTGAGTAAACTCTCTCACGTGTTCCAATTGTGGACATATCCCTCTGAATGATGAACCACATTATATGTTTCTTTCCTACTCATGCATGTGTTTTTTTGTTTACTTGTAAAAAAATTGATATCAGAGCTGAGGTTTTGTTTTGGTGTTTGTGATTTTTAGTTTGCATCAAAAGTTCTAATGGTTCGTGGTTTGACTTTTAGATGACAATTTTCTTTTTTCTAAGATATCAACTTTTTTTTCTTGCTTTCAGAAGTTTGTAATAGTTTGTGATTTGGTTTAATGGTAACAGTTTTTTGAAAGGTTGTCTATCAAGCGAGTTCAGTTTTTTTGAATCTTTTTTAAATAGTGTTATGTGAACTTTTTCAATAGTTTTTTGTGTTTTCTATTTTTGACAGTAAGAGCAAATTTTAGTTTTGTAACAGTTTTAAAGTTTTCTATTTTAATCATACTGACTTTT